ATTTATCCAACCAGAGCATATTCTTGGGATCAATTGTATTATTTAGAGCTGAATTTCTGCTTTTAGTGCCAGGACAGTAATTTAATTGTGCAATTAAAAAAAATCAATCACTAATGACAATGCACCACACAATTGAAAATCTGCCTGAACCCCTCGTGCATGAGGGAGAACATGCAAACTCCTTGCAGACAGACCTTAGCCAGGATTTAAACCCAGGACTTTCCTGCTGCAAAACTACAGCGTTAACGCTGAGTCACCAGGTCTCATTTGATCAGAAGAACTTCTTCGAAATGTTTGCCTTGTCCCCTACTTAGATTGTAACAAACTGCAAACAAGACATCTTCTTTCATCACTGGATATATACACACAGGTGGACTCTAAATAAAGTCGGTTTTACTTTGATTTTTTTAGAAATATCACAATAAAGAAAACTGAGTGCTTTGTCTTTCAGGCTTTGTTTTGTAATCATATAAATCACTTTTTTTTTTTTTTGCAAAATCTTGCATCCTTTTATGACATAAAATCACAGATTGAAGTTTGAGGTTTTTGTCTATTGACACAATTTCAAAAGAATCAATTATGCATGGGTATTGCCAGACATTGTCTAGTTTGTCTCAGTGAAGTTCAAGAAACGTTTGGAGGAGTCTAAGTTGGATTTTTTGTTTTTCAGTTTCAGACGTTTTGAATTTGATTCCAGTCAACTTTGTGTAGCCCTGCTGTCATCCTTACTCAACATTACTTTCTCTTTTACTACTCCTCTCTTCCAGTTGATGCTTGTCTTTTTTTGGCCCACCCCACTCACTCCCTTTCCCGTCACCCTCATATAGTCCCTGCCGATCTCATCCTCCACCTCTGTGTCCTCTAACCACTTGACACCTTTTCAGATTCATCCCCATCAGTTGGCAGACAGCGTGCATTTCACCCGCAGGGCACAATGCAGCGATCCTCATGAATCAATGGCAGATAAATCAATGCTATCTCTTTTTTCCATGCCTCCGTTGCCATCGATTTCTTCCCCCCTCTCTCTCTCTTGCTGTTGCTTTGCTGTTTGTGGAATCTTCAACTTTGCTCAATTGAACTGAGTTCACTTTCAGGAAAAAATTGTAACAGCATAAGGCTTTCAGCTCTAAGACAGACACTAATGTTTGTGGTTGGAGCTTTTATTTATGAGATGCTCCGTTCAGAGAGATGCCACGTGGTGATTTTTAATGTTTTTTTTTTTGTTGTTTTTTTTTTTGCTGAGGCTGAACCTGAATTTACTGGTACCGTGAACCTGCTTTCCAATGAGGCATGCAGAATGCTTGGCTTAATTAAGACTTTTCAGTTTGAGCCAGAGCTAATGTCTAAAACAGAGACAAAGCGAATATCCTTTGATCATATTTACTGGGAAAGAAGGAGCTGCGATTAGTATGTAAATGAGCTTTTCTTTTGGTGTTTTAGTGAAGCAGTCATAGGTTTTTCCTGGCAGGGAAATATCTAAACATGATTTTATTTCCAATCATCAGGCTTTGCAGTCTGTCAGAGAGAATGATTTCTGAGAAATGCAGAGACACATACATATTATTCTGAAGACTACATTTAATATAGCCCAAAGAAAATTATCCACTGTGATATTTCACTAGTCTCCCCTATAAATAATTCATTGTTTTTATGTGCCCTCATGCTGCCGTGGGGATTGGAACAGCTGAGTGTTTTCATAGCATATTTGAGTCCAATCTTCTGTGTATTGGGCATGCTCTAATCAAGCCACGGTAAACATGCCTTGAATGTTTGTTGAGTCATCTGCTTATCAGCTAATCAAACGACTTATTTGCCCGTGCCACTGCCTTGGTGGTGAACGGCACAGCTCCGGTTTAGTATTTTTCAATTATTTGTTCATCTGTTTGATTGACGCTATGGCAGTGCAGCGCAGGTGATGTGGGTGAACTCCACAGCCTTTCGTGCATGATGTATAAGTGCACCACAGCGGCAGAGAGGAAGAGTAATAGAAGCTAATACATTTAAGGGATCTACAGAGCAAGGCAATCCATTGTTCTGGAAACTTTCTCTCTCCAGGAACACATCTTCAGCCGTTTGTACAATTTCTCATGTGGGTGCAGGACCTCATAAAAGACCTATGCATGCACAGAGCATGTGGTTGTTTCTTTTTGTGAAGGGACTAGCATGAAAGTGCAAGTCATAGAGAAAATTTCAAAGGCAGGAGCCAGGACGACGACATCGAGCTGCCAGGGACTGGTGAGCAATCAGATAGGGCAGAATTGATGACCTGGCTCAGGATGGATTTCTTGGAGCGGGCTGCCAGACCGAGGTAATACTTTCAGGCTCTTATCAGCACTGGCATAAGCTGAGTGCTGCATCACCCACTTCCCAGCGTCAGCTTATTATGAGAGTCCATGATGTGTGATTGCTTGTACCGGTTTTGTGAGTCCCAGGGTCTGTGTGCACAGGCCACAGTCATCAAGAAGAAGAACAAACGCAGAGCCACGATCAAGGTGCACTGCTCACTTCCTTGCTGTTCCACTGACATTTAACCAAAAACTGGCACTTTGCGAAGTTTCATGTTCCTTTCGCAAGGTGATCTGCCAAAATATTAATATCCACAGAACCTTTTCACATTGTGCCACATTATAATCAGAAACTGTATTTTATTTTGCTTAAATTATGTGATAGACTAACAGAATTGTGCATAATTGAAAACTTTAAGGATAATTCAACAACACGTCTGCATTCAGCAGATTTACCCTGAATTTCCTTCAAAAGTTGCCTCAGAGTGTAACAAAACCTCCGTATAAATCCTTTTTTCTGTGAAGGTCTCAGAGGTTTGTTAGAGAACATTAGTGAACATTTGGTATCATTAAGAACAAGGAACACAGCAGACAGGGCAGGGATAAAGTTATGGAGAGGTTCAAAGCAGGTTTAGGCTATAAAGCAACATCCTTATGTAGCGCTGTTGTGGCACTAATAGCTAGATGTAACATAAACTCAGAAAACTGGGAAACAACTACTGGAGCTGATGTCAGTAAAAATAAAACAACTGAGAAAACAATGCTTGGTTGTGGTACCATGAATTTGAAAGTTAAAAGTAAACAACACACACACACAAATAGAAAATACAAAGAATGACCCACAGAATAAATACAAATATAAACAATACTGCAGTTAAGTTTCAAAAGTAATGTGCACAAGGTTTGGTGGAAAGCAAAAACAGTGTCAAAAAGATGACTTATCCCCCTATTAATAAATACCACCAGTCAGCACAAATATCACTGACACACTTAAGGAACAAAGTTCATGATTTTATATAATCAAGCTATTTGAGGAGGAATATCCTTGCACAATTGTCCATAACGGAGAAGAGATATTAGTGGTGTTTGCGTGTCAGAATAGAGAGAGAAAAGAGCAAGCGCTGTAATAGTCTTATACCAGACATATGGAGGGATTTGCAGGCCTATGTTGCCACTCCATACAACGTGGTTGGCTGAATGTGTCATGTCACTATGGCCACATGACTGACACATACTAAAAACATACTGGAGACGCACAAATCTGTGGGGCAATGGGCCAATGTCAACATTAATGCCGGTATGTTGTGGATCTTTAGCTTTGGACTCTGAAATATAAAATCCCTCTTCATTTTCAAAAAAAGGACCAGCATTAGAGTTATTCAGTATTTAAACTACCGGGAGAAAAAAGAAACAAGTTTTACTGGAAGAAAGTTGATCCAAAAACCTGGATGCTACCATCACCATTATATGAAAAATGTTTGTTTTTTTTCAGTGTTGTGCTTTAAACTTATCTGTGTCACAAAAGGTCAATGTAAATTTTTATATTGATGTTTCATCGGGTCATAGCAAATTCTTGTACAAAATTTATGAATATTTTAGCAAGGCAAGTACGATTGTTTATTCCATCCATCCATCCATTTTCTGTTCACCCTCGTCCCTAGTGGGGTCGGGAGGTGCTGGTGCCTGTCTCCAGCTACGTTCCAGGCGAGAGGCAGGGTCACCCTGGAAAGGTCGCCAGTCTGTTGCAGTAACAATCCAACTTGGACCAGAAATAAATACACAATTGACCACTTATTTGTTGAAAAGGTCTTGGCTTTGGAGAAACATCTGGCTGCTGCAATGTCACTGCTATCTTGCTGAACAAATTGCTGAACACTGTTCCACTGGGCTGTAATGTGGTAGATTTGTATTTGCCTCCCCTCTCCTGACTGTTACCTTTGTACAAAGAAGACTCTTTCCATCCCATGTCACTTCTCTGCAAACCAAAAGCTTGAACAAGGCATTACCTTGCACTAGAGCTTGCAAATTTTTAATCTTGTCCATTTTTTTTGTTGTTGTTTTAACAAAGACATACTGTGTCACACTAAAGGTGGAAAACGTGTTCAAATGACTCATCCTGGCTTAAATTTATAACACAAACCCATGGAATTTTGAGAGCCATTATTATCACCTCTTTTAATAAACTTCCCACTAAAAATATATAGAAAGTGTTCAATTTTGCTTAATGTGAGACCTGTTAATGACACTCTAGGTCACTACAGTACACATTAGGCTGAAAGAAATCACGTCTCATCTCATTCAGATCTCATCAGGATCTTTATTTCTCCCTGCAGACCAACTCTTGGGTCCCTGCAGGATTCTGTTCGTCCCATTAGAGGATGCTGCCTGCAGCTCTCAACCGGAGAGCCAAATGAGAACCGAAACGTTGCTTTGCTTAAATAAGTTGATCAAAGATCCCAATCTCGGTCACGCCACTGCAATTTATATCAAATCTTCCTCCTTTTTCTTGTTATCTTCCGCGTATATAAACAACGTGGTTTCAGACGCTCGGACGCCGGAGCGTCTCTATGGTAACAGCCTTCAATTACCGGTGATTGGCCAACCCGTGGGAATGTGTCTGTTCCCGGAGATATGTGATTGGTCGGGGGGCGGTCTGAGCAGCCTGACAGTCTGCAGCGTTCCGGGTTATTGTCAGTCTCGGCGGTTCGGCAGAAGGGCAGCACCGCGTCCCCGGAGCTGCCTCAAGCAGCTAGCTCTTTATTCAGACGGAGCGGTTTCTGTATTTGGTTTAAACGCCAAAAGAGAGGCTGGTTGAGTTTTGCAAACTGAGGTTGCTGCAAGACCGCATGTGGAAATCTGCGCCTGAATCCGGAGGAAACGCATCCAAGAGAGAGAAACCTGCCGACCCCCTCAGAGAAAGTGACGGACGGAGCAGAGCCTGATCGCCGGGATTTTTTTTTTTAAATATATATATTTTCATCAATTTAGGATCTTCCAGGCTGCTGCTTTGGCCCTGCCTGGATTTCGTTCAGGGTATATCAACACAAAAAAATTGCCTGAATCATATTCCTAAACATTTACGTTGGCGATCTACATTTTGAAAAAAAGGAGACGGACCCACGCGTAATTACAGCGCTGGATTTTTTTGTTGTTGCGTAAAACAGTTTTTCATTGTTTGGAAGTATTCTCAAGCGACAGAAAAGAGCGAGTGTTTCTTTTCACTTCGCTTTCAGAGGTTAAGCGCTGAAAAACGAGAAGCGCTTCTCGGTGCGCAATCCTTCCGAGGACGCTTCAGAGAGACTCCGCCGACCTGCGCTCTTAACCTCCACATTCTGTCGGCAGCCAAGTCGAGCTAATAAAAGGGAGGAGGGGAAAAAAGGGGGGGCGAAGCTTATTAACTTTGCATGCTCGAGGCGAGATTGTGGAATCTTTAATTTTTGCATACCGCTGGAAGACGAGGATAAACTTAATCGGCATTGAATCTTTGCAGAGAAGAAGCAGCAGCAGCTGGATTTCTGGTGGTGGAGGAGGGGGGGGGGGGAAGCGGAATGAATCCTTTTTAATTTGGCCCAAAGAAGAATGAGGCAGATTGCTTAACGATTGCATGGAGTTCTAGTCTGCAATAAGGAACAATTTATGGTAGGTATATTTAGCATTTTTCCCCCTTGTCTGAATGTTGTTTTTTTTCCTGCATGCCTGGATAAATTCTTTTAGAATAAAGATCGCAACACACGGATGTCTCTGATTTAAAGCCTTTGTTTCCATACGTGACCCACAATAAACGCAGCGTTGTTAGAGAGAGCCGAATAGCTTTAGGAACTGCTTTGATGTTTTAATATTGGGGCTTTTTTTCAAGCAAGGGAAGCAATTAAGCGTGTTGTGGAGGGCAGTGCACCGCGGGCACGGGTGGCTCTGGGAGAGAGAGAGAGAGAGAGAGAGAGAGAGAGAGAGAGAGAGAGAGAGAGAGAGAGAGAGAGATTGCGGCTCAGAGCAAAAGGTGCGAATTTGTCATCTGTCTATCCGCCCCCGTGCGTCACATGGTGCAATTAGACATTTTCACTCATATATCATGTCTTACATGCGCTGTGTTGGAGGGCTTGTGTCCATAAAATGCTCAGGGGAAACGTGTGCAAAACTTTTTTCACTTCATGCTCTGAGCTCTGCAGCGAGACTGTCCGTCCCTGCAGATGCCTCCCTCCTCTGCACGGACTGCCTTATTGTAGGCGCATCTGAAATTCACGCCTTTCCTCGGAATATAAATGCGAGTTAATAAAAGTCAGTGTCTGAACTTTGAGCCTCGTCGGCTTGCTGAGGTTGCTTTGCAATATTTAGCCTCATTGCTCACGTTGCAAAGAGACGAGCTTCACATTATGCTGACTGAGCAGTGGAAGAAGAAGAAGGGGGGAAAAAAAGCTGCACCAAGAGTGTTTTATCATTAGACTGTACAAGCATCCATCCAAATTGATCTTCCTCTCGCTGGCTCCAGTCATGCTCTGTCTCGCAGCCCTGCAGATAGGGCCGGCTGACTGAATGTAATATGGAGAGGCCCCCTCCTCCTCATCATCCTCCTCACCAGCAGCAGGGACGGCCGGCGCCCCCACAGTCAGGGCACCTGCCATCGAGTCCTTCCTGGCTGTATTGAATAAAACATCCAGTGATGTATGAGACAGGAGCTGCACCCGCGGGGACAGAACTGCCTCATTTACTTCCTCCACTCCGCGCCCATGACCTGCTGAGCAAATTGTGCTCATATTAGCTCTGTGGCTGCTCCTCACCTAAACAAATAGTCTCCCCAGCATAATGCTTGCCTTAACTCAACATGATGGTTGGACAAAAGCATGGGAGAATGGAATGGCATGGGGGGCTGAGCTTCAATATCTGGGTCACTGAGTTATCTTTTCGGAGTTTGGAGTTGTTGTTTTTTCTGCCTCTTTGTCTTTTGGCTTACTGTTAAATCACGATTTGGACCTTCGTATCTCCAAAGCATTCCTCATTTTGTAGCTTTTTTTATTCATTAAAAAGGAGGATGATTGGTACTTTTAAGATGTTAAAACCAGTGGCCCCATCAGAGGGGGGGAACCGTGCTCACCCCTATGAATTTGCACCACTCTGACTCTGTTGGCCACCCCGTTGCCAGGCAATATATTATGCATAAAACGCTTTCTTCTTTTCTCCCAGGTGTTTTTCACGAGTACTTTCCATTTCATTCCTTCTGGGTTTCATTTGCTTCATATTGACTTTTTAATATGCTGAAAAAGAAGATGCCTGCTTCCGAAGGTTTGGTATCTGAACAAGCACCAGTTTGCATCCTTTGCACTACTTTGACAACCAATGATTTAAACTGGTTTTCTATATCCTACTTCAAGTTTATGCTAGTAAATCTGGGTTTTATAACTCCCACTAAATATCAACTACCAGCATTAGGTCACTTTGTGTTATTTTGTTGGTTGGTTGGTCATATTTCTTAGTCAGCTGGTTCAAACAGCAATCATCACTGATAGAAATAGTGATACAACCAAATACATAGTCGTTACAAAATATATGTAATAGCTGACCAGTTTTATTATTATCTCTATAATTTGTTAAATATGAGTTAGAATTAAAAGATAAACAAATACAACATGGCTGGAGTGAAAGGGTGCATAACGGTTTGTTGACAGGTAGAAGAAAATGGACATAAAGAGTTTTAGACTAACTGTGATTTAACCCAAAAGAGGATAATGACCCAAGGTAAATTCAAAGTAGGTGTAACACAATTTTTAATACAGCAAATTAGATAAAATTATATGTGAGATTGTATCCTTTTTATGAGCATTAATTTCTATAGTTCGTGGAAATAATTACAAAAATAACAGTTCTTGTACATGGATACTGACGGGTTTAATGGTACAAAACTGAACAAGGCAGGGAGAAATGTCATCATTTTAAAATAAAACAGGATAGAAAGTAACAAATAGGTAAACTGACTCAAAGCCAAATTTGTATTCATTTCTTTATTTTGTCCTTCTTGTTGTGAAAAGGGTTTTGATTTGGGGTGCCACACCAAAAGTACGGTTAGAACCGGCGACATCCATTTAGAAACCTCCTGGCGCACCTGGTTAAAACTAAAATGAGTTTTACTCAGCAACCTAAATCCTGAGAACTACCGCATTCCTCTACTTACTGAGAATATCCAGATTACTTATGTAAAGTCCAATCTGTTGTATTCATCAAATTTGCCAACAGCTGGAAGGTCGAGATGTATATTTTACGCAATGCATTAACAAAAAGCAATACGCTAAGAGAAGCCTGGCATTTTATCAATTCTAGCAACTCAAATTGCATATCGCTCTGATTGATTGATAGCTTTTGGGCTCCTTACCGTATTCTTTGCTTATTAAAAGTGCCTGCCTGATGGGAATAAGTGAGCTGCTCTCATGAATATCGTTAAAGTTGCTGAAGTTTAATTTCCTGTGCTGTGTATTAATCTTTTTTAATCCCTGCATGGTTTGATTGTCTCAACACCTTCCCAGAGGCAGTAAAACTCATTTTGGCACTTAAGATGACTGAAATAGTGGATGCAGACGGGTGTGTGTGTGTCTGAGAAAAAATGTGTGTTACTCAAGACCTACCTTATGTCGGGTCTTACATGTCTGTCTTATTTGAAGAAAATTATACTTTCTAGATCAGAAATAATGTTTCTTCTGTACATGAAAGTAAATATTTTGCTCTCATGTAAGTTGATTTTATAGAGCAGCAGATTGTTTCTTACCTGTAAAATATAAACGCTGCTCAAAAGAACAAACAAGATGTTTCACTCAAAGCCATGTCAACAGTGCCTCATTAGCCACCTGATCAAAGTGTTTCATATCAAAAGTCTACAGCAGTCCTTGTTTTTATCATGCAGCCAAACAAGAAGAGACATGCCCTTTTTTGTGCATTTCAATTTTGCACAATTGTATCTCTGCACATTAGTACCCGGGATGTGGCAACAGAGCATGAAGAGACAGAGCATAAAACAGAACCATCACTTCCACGGTCTGCTGAGAAGAAAACATGACTTTCAGAGTATCAGTACGAATGAACATAAGTGAAAAGGTTGTTTGGTCTCAAGCTTGATCTAAGTATTTTTCATCTGACATTAGGTTGTTGCAGGTAGTAGTAAAAGCTGTTTTTTGCACTATAGTGCGAATTATTTAGTACTAAACTATTGTTCCTCACTGTCTCTAACTGCGCTGAGTCATAGGAGTTGTGCTTAGCCGTCAGATAAAACTTCTGCTTCTGAACGGGGCAAAGTGGGCATGAATAGAACCGGTTACCTTAGACAAGCAGACAGTTTGGACTGTTGAGGGACATTAGAGCTTTACCATCAACACGCTACGGTTCAGTTGCGTACAAGAACTATATGATAAAATATATTTCTGTTTGTGACTGTAACAATACCAAATGTTGAAAAGCATAAGAAGTATGTCGACTTTTCCAGAGGATCATACATTATCCATTGTGTGCCCATTGGGAGTCTGATTTCCTGTTGTTTTGACCAATCTCCAGGGATTACCTGACCAATACTGTGCTCAGAAGACCTTGCCTGATCCTCATCAGGGTTATCTGCAGCCAGTTAGTGCATGACAGACAGCAGCATTCCTCCGATCTCCCCTTACTCCCCCTATAAACCTGAATGGAGTCACATCTCACCGGACTCCAAGGTTAATGTATAGCCTTTCATTTGGTAAGGTTAGGGACCGCTTGTCCATTTTTCTTCCTCGAGGGTGCCCTCGCAGATATGAAATACAGCCAGCAGACGTTTTCTCTTTTTTTGTGGTTAATGAGTACACTGCCATGACTGCCGTGCAGTTTATAGTTTGTTCCATAACTCAGCCTGAAAAGTGAGGCTATGCTTGCTTCTTCCAAAGACTTCTTGGGGGGAAGAGAGAGAATAAAGCAAATCTGACAAGCTCTCCAACAGCGAATTTGCTCCCCTTAAAAACAATGCCGCTCTTGCCTTCCTCATGGTCACATTGATTTGTTCTGGGTGACAATGCAGGCTGCTGTGAAATCACCCCAGCGCCATTGATCTCAAGGAGAAGAGGAGGAGAGGGAATGAGAGGCTGGCGACAGAGCAACATGGGAAAAAATCCACAGCTTGCCCTCTTCAACCTTAACCAGTAATAAAATGAAGGCCTGGGCTGCAATCAGATCAGCCCCTGCTGCACTCCGCCAGCCGCTGCACTGTGGTGTTAGTCTGTGCTTTGATTTGTTTTTTGGAGGCCCGCACATGCTGTTTGATTTGCTATTGTGGCTCGCCATGTTTCATATTATCAGCTGAACTCTTTATTGCTACTGTTTTCCATGCCAGAAGCGAGGCTGTTTTTATCTCGCACAGGCCTCTGATTAATCTTCCCCCCTCTATGCTGCCGTACTTTAATCTTGAATGGGAGATATCTGATTCTCCTCGGCTATTGAGGAAGATCAAACTTTAATGGAACAAGGAACTGCACATCATGCTAATCTCCATCTCTCTGCATTTTGGTTGACTGTGCTCCCTTGGGCTTTGTAGCTTTCTGCAGAAGCAGGAAATACATCAGCCAGATAAGATGTTTTCTCTTCATGCTTTGGTAATTTATTCCCTGTCGACAATGGCCACCATTTTACGTCTCTGC